TGGGATTAAATATCTTGATTTTGTTGTTTTATATAACACAAGTTTGTTGTTCTAACTTTTCTCGGTTCTAAGAGCAAACAAACTAAATGATTTACAATCATATGCTTGTCGAAATATTGCATTGTTCATACTCAATAGATTCATCCTTAGAATGTTTTAAAATCTCTATAATTTATATGTGATTGGTAATGTTTTATAAGCTTGGTTTGATCTCATGGCTTAAATTCAAATAAAATATGTTGAATAAATCGCTCTTTAATCAAAACTTATATTGCATGATGACTTTGTAAAATCTAGTATAAGACTTGAACCTAAAGGTCGAAATCAGTTTTAGTGCTTTAGCGGATCTAGCAAAAGTATTTGGATGAAACGAGCCAATTACTTGCCATATGTCTTTGTCAATCAATGTTTTTTGCTTTCCACGTATTTCGCCATCGATAAATTGAACGAGAGAATCTTTGTTTTGTCTTAAAAGAATATGAATTCTGAAAATTAACGGTTTTAAGCTAAAGTTGTTCAGCCAGTAAAATTTTGCTAAATTCCTCAAATACATTTCATTTCGTAAACACTCTCATTCCTTTGAAAAAAAACATCTAATTTCAACTCCATCTAAACCTATTGAGATTGAATTACAACTCCACCAGAATTCGACTGAACAATATCTAATTTCTTGCCGTCTTCTTGAGGAAAAAAGATTACTACAAATGGTTATAAAATTCATCTCGGATTTGGTATTATATATGTTTTTCTGTCTTTGATATGCATTGTTAGGTTAATAACATGGAATATGTTGGAAATAGAAAACTCAGATCTTTAATTATTAAAGCGATCTGTGATTTAATTATAAAACTCAGATCTTCGTCGTCTACTCAGCCACCAACCTCTCTACACTAACACCCACTGTTACTATGTCTGCCGCCGCCGCCGCCTGCGTCTCGTCCTCGGCCAAAGTCGCCGTAAAGCCCTCTCTCTCCTCCAGATCGGCTCTACCATCTGCCATTTCTGTACCTTTCAACTCTCGTAGCCGCGATATTCCTCGGAGACGGTTAATCCTCGTGACGTGCACCGCCGGAGATGGAGCCAAACCGACCGTTCTCGTTGCTGAGAAGCTCGGTGAGGCTGGGGTTAAGCTCCTTGAGAACTTCACAAATGTCGATTGTTCATATAATTTGACGCCGGAAGAGCTGAACACGAAGATCTCGCTCTGTGATGCGTTGATCGTTCGGAGTGGAACGAAAGTAGGACGCGAGGTGTTTGAGTCGTCTCGCGGACGGTTGAAGGTTGTTGGGCGCGCTGGTGTTGGAATCGATAACGTGGATCTGAGCGCCGCCACGGAGTTTGGTTGTTTGGTGGTTAACGCTCCGACCGCGAATACGATCGCCGCCGCTGAACATGGGATCGCGCTTTTAGCGTCCATGGCTAGGAACGTTTCTCAAGCTGATGCTTCTGTTAAAGCTGGTAAGAGTCACTTTCGAATTTTCCTTATTCTCATACTTTCCTTACTTCGAAAGCGTTTGTTTAGAGTATATATCTCTTGGATCGACTCTTCTTAGTTATGGAATTTGATGTGTAAGGTTTGATGATTCTTGTGTGTGGACTAAATCTGATCTCACTGACTTGTGTGTGGATACTTCATATTCTGAGGATCTTTGTGTTTATTCTGTATCTAATGCAGGGGAGTGGAAAAGGAACAAGTATGTTGGTGTTTCACTTGTGGGGAAGACACTTGCTGTGATGGGTTTTGGGAAAGTTGGATCAGAAGTTGCTCGACGTGCCAAGGGACTTGGTATGCGTGTCATTGCTCATGATCCTTATGCCCCTGCAGACCGTGCTCATGCTATTGGTGTCGACTTAGTGAGCTTTGATGAAGCCCTCGGGACTGCGGATTTCATTTCCTTACACATGCCTCTTACACCGGCAACATCGAAGATGCTCAACGATGAAACCTTTGCAAAGATGAAAAAAGGAGTTCGAATAGTCAATGTGGCTCGTGGAGGTGTCATTGATGAAGACGCACTAGTGAGAGCTTTAGATGCTGGCATTGTTGCTCAGGCTGCTCTTGATGTTTTCACTAAGGAGCCACCGGCAAAGGACAGTAAGCTGGTGCAGCACGAGAGGGTCACTGTGACACCTCATCTTGGAGCAAGTACCATGGAGGCACAGGTTCTGCATTTTTATCAACAATTCAAATGACAGTTCGTTATGACTCTCTGTTGATTAGTTACTATGTTTGGCATTGACAGGAAGGAGTTGCAATTGAGATTGCACAAGCTGTTGTTGGAGCTCTTAACGGAGAGCTTGCTTCTACTGCTGTCAATGCACCTATGGTTCCTGCTGAGGTGAGCCGTTGTCCTTTGCTAGTAAAATACATAGAAGCTGGTCGTTCTACTCAAGAAAACATAACAGCGTCTTATGTCAGATGACAATAAGAAACATAATAAGAAAGATTATGAAATTGTGGCAGAAGAAGCTATTTTGGGGTGTAAATGTGTTTAACAAAAGCTTATAATATTCACAGGTTCTCGCGGAGCTGAAACCTTATGTTGTACTGGCGGAGCAACTGGGAAGGCTGGCTGTACAGCTGGTGGCTGGAGGAAGCGGTGTGAAGAACATGAAAGTGACATATGCCTCGGCTCGAGCCACTGACGATCTTGACACCAGACTTCTCAGAGCCATGATTACAAAGGGTATCATAGAGCCGATCTCAGATGTGTATGTAAACTTGGTTAACGCGGATTACACAGCCAAACAGAGAGGTCTGAGAATCTCAGAGGAACGTGTTGCCCTTGACGGATCACCAGAGAACCCGCTTGAGACCATCACAGTTCAGCTGGGAAACGTCGAGTCTAAATTTGCCAGCGCCTTGTCTGAATCTGGGGAGGTCAAAGTTCAAGGAATGGTTAAAGATGGGGTTCCACATTTGACGAAGGTGGGATCTTTTGAAGTAGATGTAAGTTTGGAAGGAAGTATTATACTGTGTAGGCAGGTGGATCAGCCGGGCATGATTGGGACGGTTGGTAGAATCTTGGGAGAGTCGAATGTTAATGTCAGTTTCATGAGTGTTGGGAGAATCGCGCCGAGGAAGCAAGCGGTTATGGCGATTGGTGTAGACGACATGCCGAGCAAAGAGACTCTAAAGAAAATTGGAGAAATTCCAGCTGTGGAAGAGTTTGTGTTCCTCAAGCTATAGGCTTGCTACCAACATTTGGTGAGGATTTGATGGAAAAAAAGAGCTTTGGCTATATTTGTTTTGGTGCATTTTTACAGTTTTGAGAGTATTAAAGTAGCTTAAGAGAGTTTGGACATGGTCTGCCTCGAGAATTTGATCTCTGAGGCTATTAATGTTTCAGCTTTATGTTCTGTTTTAGTATTGCACTTCTTTTTCGTTCATTGGATAGTCTTCTCTACAAAATCTGAAATAAAGTAGCACGATATGATATGTGCACAAACTCGTTGAATTGTGTTCCTGTCATATTCCATAGTGCTGGTGATGTACTCTCAGGGAATAAGATACTGATATGCTTCTAGAAAGAGGCAGCAGACAGAATCTGACCAGTCTTCTTCAGTGTCTGAAATCACTTTGGTGGAAGCAATATATACGGTGAGCTTTTGAGTTTGGAAAAGGCAGAACCATTCTTTGCCTTTGGGAATTTATTCCTTCCAGCCTTTCTTCTAATGGAGATTTGCCTTTTTGCTTGCCTTTACATTCTTCAATTTCAAACTTTCACTTTGCTTTTTCTTCACAGATCTCATAAACTTATTCCTCTATTAGACATAGCTTGAAATATTGTCGTGTGATTTCTGAAGCTGTGTTTCTTTCACTCTTATGGGAGCCAGATTTTCACGTATAGCGAAAAGGTTTCTTCCCAAGTATAAAGTAAGGATTTTGATGGTTGGTCTTGATGGTTCTGGGAAGACTACTATCCTTTACAAGCTGAAGCTCGGTGAGGTTGTCACAACTGTTCCTACTATCGGTATGTCACATAAGCTTTTCTTTTTCTTTTATGCTTTTGAAAACCTCTCTTGGTGAGGGATCGATTTGGAAGTTAGACCAAAGATGTTGATTCAGTCAGATGTTTCGTTTGGGTAATCCGGACAGCTTATTCTCTGTGGATCATATAGCTTATCTATAGTTAATCACTTTTTCCCTTGATTGTGTGTTTGCATCTGTGAAGACGAAAATTCTTGATAGCTTGATAAATTCCTTGTTGATAAAGAATCTGCATTTAACCAATTCTTTTACGATTTTCCAGGGTTCAACCTCGAGACAGTAGAGTATAAAGGCATCAATTTCACTGTATGGGATATAGGAGGACAAGAGAAGGTAAATTCCATGTCGATTTCGTCTTGCACTAATCTCTCTGAAACTGGATTAAAGTTCAAGTGGACTAATCCACAAAAACAGAAGCATGATTTTAGTCTTATTACATTTTTCAGTCTATTAATTTACCTCTCGATAAGCGCATAAAAACACAGATTTCTCTTGCTTTTTCGCTCAAGGCTCGACCTGTCTTGTTACGGGATCTTGATCATTTTATTGGTCTGACAAAATGTTGGCTTTTTGTATAGATTCGCAAGTTATGGAGACACTATTTTCAGAACGCGCAAGGGCTCATTTTTGTGGTGGATAGCAGTGACAGTGCAAGAATATCAGAAGCTCGTAATGAGCTGCATCGTATACTAACCAATGTAAAAAATCATTTGAAAATGCTCTTTCAAGTGTTACTCATTCTCTCCTCTCTTGTATCCTTACAACTTTGTGTTTTGGTTTAAAATGCACAGAATGAACTAGAAGACGCATGTGTTCTCGTATTCGCGAATAAACAAGATTCAAGAAATGCTTTACCGGTAGACGAGGTTGCCAATAAACTTGGTCTGCACGGCCTATCCAAGCGTTGTTGGTAATAATAATAAAAACGTCTTCTTTTATTCATATAACTTGCTGCAAGAAGAAGTATATACATTTTGTGGTGGAGGATGAACAAAAACTGTGTAATTGATGACTGGTGCAGGTTTATACAGGGAACATCAGCCATCTCTGGGCAAGGCTTATACGAAGGGCTTGAATGGCTCTCCAAAACTATCCCGAACAAACCTGAACGGTCTACTTCGGGTGGTAGTTTCCGAAATAATTCCTCCGAGAGGAAGCTAGTACGAGGTCCAAGATATTAAAGACTAAATATCTCTTGATCACAATGTCTTATGCGTTCTATGTATTTGTATGATTATGACGTTTTGATTTCCATGTTTCTCAACGAAAAGCATGCTCTATTACTACTCATACTACGGAGTGAATAAATTTTAGGGTAGAAATCGCTATTTAGACCTTTTTGTTTCTTGAGAATTCTACAAAAATATCACACTTTCTCTTTCAAAAATGTCACAAAGCAGTTTGTAAACACAAATATGTCACATTCAGAAATTTCAGACGAAAATGCCTTCACTTTTTGCCTGACTGAATTGCATTATTCTGCGATTGGCGGTGGCAATGGAGGTGGCAATAGCGGTGCGTCTGCTGTCGTTTCTGCTGGATTCGGTAACAAGCTGCAGATTTAGTAATCATTTTATGAATTCTTAGAAGCTTTTTTCTTCTTTTTAGAAAGGATTCAACTTTCTTCTCTTTATTTTTTTCCACATTTGAAACTTTTAGCATTACTAAAACATATCCATGGAGCATAATATGATTATTGATTCATTTGTGAAAGCCGAATTCTTTAATAATAGCCAAAACAAAACAATAGTTGACTCGTACTAGTAGTAGTCTTGTTGTCCAAAAGAAGATGCAAAAAACAGAGTATTGAAAAAATGGAACAAATTATTCATCTATATCTTTCATTTCGCCAAGTTGGTTGATTTGCAGTTGCACTAAACTTGGAACATAAGAAGAACACACAAGTTTTCCGTGTTCCAAGCGATTCAGAGCTTGTCCCATGTTGACAGGTTTGAAGTATCCATCTTCTCCAATGATGTAAGCCATTTGGTAGCGATAGGGCTGGGTCGGTTTATCAATAAGCACAGCAACTTTCTTCTCCTCGTCAATGAAGAAGCTTCTAGCATCAAAGTAAATGGGAAAATCATCCCGTAAAGCATTGATAACTCTCAAATCCACTGTAAAAAAAGTGTTCCACGATACCGCATTGGGCTCAATCTCAGTCGTAATCCAAATCTCGTAAAAGTCCTCGTGTCTATATAACACAGCGAACTTCTCATCTTTAACCCAAGACAGAGTCAAAGTTTCGATACCAGGAAACTGAGGGTGGAACGGCAGAGGAAGACGCGACCCGAATCGCTCTGTTGTAAAATCAAAACAGAGTAAATAATTATCTTTAATATTTGTTATCTCGGTTCCTCCGACTATTACTGTTGTTACCTCTTGACCAAAAAAGTAAGTATTTCCCTTCAAAGACACGCCATGATTAAACAGTATATCTTCCGCTTCAGGATAGACGTCAAGAACCCTCCATGAATCAGAGCTAAAATCGTAGACATGAATGCATTTGTTGTTTTCGTCATCATTAAACTGCCTCATGATTTTGTGGTTACGGTTGTTGTTGTCATAACCGAGAGCATAATTAACTATTGTCTTCAATTCGTTTCTTCTAGGAGGTTGAATCCATCTAATTCCACCCAAATATGGATTGCATACAAAGAGCCTCGACCGGTCTTTGGTGACGCATAACAGTAAGCCGTCACAGTGAAAGACTTGAGATACCTCGACTTGATGATTAGGTTTACTTATATGCTTCATAGAAGGATCATCAGCCAAGTCGCCGTCGTTGAGGATTCCTTGAAGATCGAATCTCAATGAACAAACCCTAGAGTTTATAATCATAAACTCAAGAAACTGATTCTTCCTTGCTGCTTTTTTACCCAAAATCTGCTTTTTCGATAAACCATTCCACGTTTTACAGGTGAAACGCACTGCGATTAAACATGTCAGTGGAACCCTAGAGAAAATCTCTCCTACTAAATCCCTTGGAAGATCAGAAATCCTCATCATTCTTCCAAAGTTCCGAACAACAACAAGAGACTTTGTGTTGCTCAAACTTTTTCTTCCGCCGCTGGAAAATGTCCGAGACCTAATAACCTAGTTAGAGGGGTTCCCCATTTCCTTTATTGCTTTTTCTTTCTCTGGTGAGTAGAACCCCCTTGCCGGCTTAATTGCTACGGTATTAAATTAGGAAACAGCGTATCACACTTTCCTTCTAGTGTGTATCTCATTTCCTTTTTCCTCCCCAAGTTTGCCTTTTTTCGTTATCCTTGTTGATCAAGTCAAGGAAGATATGATCTCACAAAACATATTCTATGAATATTGCCTCTTTAATTACCCTCCTCTTTCCGATTGTTCTCCGGTGCTCTACGTTGCTATTAAGGCGATGTTCGTTGAGGATGATGAACCTATCACTCTCCTCGTTTCAAAGTTTTCGACGAGAACTCCAACAGTTTGCTTAGGCGGTTACTAAACCCAGATTGTCAAATCATGGCTCGAATGATTGAAGACATGCCACGGATATGGAGGGTATACAACAGAGTTAGGAGTATTGCTCTTTCCAGGGATAAGTTTCAATTCATCTTCCAACGTGAGGAGGATCTCCAAACTGTTCTTCACGATCGTCCATGGTCTTACAACCAATGGACCATGATTCTTGAACGCTGGTCCCCAAATCTGTCACCTAATTTTCTATCTTCCTTTGAAGTATGGGTCAGAATAAGGAACATTCCTGGTCAACATTACACAATTGAAACGATGGATCGTTTGGCATCAGCCATTGGTGAAGTCAAAGAAATTGTGTATGACCCTAAGATCTCCCAGCCTAAAGATTACATTCGGGCTCGGGTCTTGTTTCACATCGACAGCCCTGCGAGGAACTCTAAGAATTTGAATATTTCTTTAGGCGAAACAGTGGTGATCACATATGAATATGAGAAATCAGGAAGAGATGTTTCCACTGTCTCGTCTCACACACGAGAAACTGACTTGTTCGTTGCTTAAAAGATCGGGATCCAAGCCGCGAGAAGTGTATCGACCTCCAATATAGGGTGGTGATAGCTCAAACAGGGCTGGATCATCAGAGAAGGGCCTTCCTAAACCGCTACTTGAGGGACCTCCTGGTTTTCCGCCTCTGTTTCCTCATCTATAACCAAAAGATCGCCAGATGGCCCTGCAATACATATCTCATGCCTGGCAAGAATCCAGCGTGTTAACCAAACCGACATGGAGTTACTCACTGAACCAGCTCCCAGGTTCCCCTTAATCTCTCACAATGTCGACAAAGGCAAGGGCCATGTATTTGCCCACGATGAGGAATGTGAAAGAATGAAAAGGCAGAGCTTATGGGGTTCCAAACCATTAGCTTCTGCACCGAACCATGATCTACAAAGCGGTAATGAAGTTGAACGTGGACATAGCTTCACCTCCTTCTTTACGGTAACAGGTTCGACGAGTTTTGCGTTAGGCTCCTATGCCAATGAACCATTATCCGGTAACCTATTGGCTGTCAAGCGAGGGAGGAAAAGACCATCGGCCTGGAACAGAAGGTCTAGAAAAGCTCCAGGTGATAATCCTCCCAAGCCTCAGGATCAAAAGGAGGATCCACATGAAAACTACCCGAAGAGAAAAGCAGAGGAAAGTCCTTCGGTACAAACCAACAAAGAAGCCGCTGCCATCCCAATGAGCATTTTGAACAATCTTTGGATCAATGATAACACCATCTGATTTTCTTTTGTGTCTGTCTTCAAGGAGCGCAATGTGCGAACGAAATTTACTAGTTTCATCTTATTGTTGAAAAGAAGAAGAATAAAAAGGCTTGAAACCCATCAAGATACAAAGACATTAAATGGGTCCATTTTAGGAGAAACCCTAAGTCCCTAGGTTATCTTTGTAATCTATATAAACTCTTGTATGCCTCCATTGTT